AGTGCCATGCAAGCCAAATGCATTTCCAACTCATTTAATTCGCTTGAACGTCCTGCCCCAACTTATGCCTTGACTACATGGCTTTCTTCTTTCATATCGGCATGCTCGTTGCCGTTGTGCTTCTGCACATACACATAGTCATTGCCATGGCCATTGCCATTGCAATTTTCCAACAATTTCATTTTCATATTTTTATTTTTTTTTTGTTTTTTATTTTTTATTCTCTTTTCCGGACTCCGAAATATATGCGCGCTTTGCTTGATTTTCCATGAATTTTGATCACCTAGCCGAGAGTCTTAATGCTTCAGTCGGGCTCTCCACTTCATCCACTGTATCCACTGTCCGCTTCGCTCCTGCTTTAAATGCATTCAACATATGTGCATAAATTTCACACGTGGCGCGTCCGTCGCGCCAGCCCCACATGCATTTTACATGCACAAAAGGATTTTCAGCTTCAGCATTGGCAAACTGCTGTAGACCAGCAAATGCTTCAATACCCAAAGTCAGTCTACCCCCAATACCCCCCCCCCCCCCCCGCCCCACCCACCACTCTACACTCCATGTGTTTTTTTTATTGCAACAATTCTGTGGCCAAAGATGCAACTGCCAACTGGCAACTGGTGCAGCTTGCTTGTTAATACGACAACATTTAATTTTTAATCGTTGCATCCGACTCACAATTGAGGAGAGACTGGCTACAGGAGAGGCTGTTGTTGGCTGCGTTAGCGATGGCTGCGCCGCAGCCTCGTAAACCAATGCGTTACATATGTTTAATGAAGAGCGTTGCACGCACGAGTTGCCCATGGCCTGGCAGTCCGTTCTCCAGCTCATCGTCCCAATGCCCATGCCAACTGCTGCACCCACTTCCATTTGCACTGCGACAACGGCAGGCAGACCGAGAAGCCAGGCCGCATCATCCAAAGAATTTATATTTTTTCGATAGATGAATCGATATTTGGGTTGATAATACAAACATGTCTGACCCCATAAAGTCTTATATATATATATTCCAGATCAGGACGATTTGTCTGCCTGTCTGTTCGTCTGCCTGAGCCTATATATAGTCTCATTTACCATCCGCATAACGAGTTTATCGCTCCGTTTTTCGATATCTTCTCCCATTTTAGTTATATCAATAAATATCGATTTGGAGACATGGTTTTTGAAGTTTAACTCAAAAGTTACAGAAGTTGGTATGCTGGTTCGTATTCGTATGGTATATACATATCCAAAATATTTCACGTTTTGGATACCGACCCCCCCCCCCCCCCCTCCCTATCCAGCAATATTGGAACCTATCATGTTTACAGATAGAGCCTAGCGATTTGGTATATGGGTTCGCTTGTTTTTTATAGATTTCTTTTACTAGCGTATTTTTTCTCTGTGTATTTTGGTAAGCCTTTGCCTGTGCATTCCGCTGAATGACTCTCTTCAGGCTTGCACAGGCATATGCATTTAAGGCTCTCTACATATCTACATATCTATAAATATGTACATACACTCCAGCAAATACATATGTAGATACGTGTACGTGTATTGAGTTGCAGATAGATATGCATGCGGCTGGTTTCTGCCACGGCGGCGGCGGCACGGCGCTTGCTTCTGACTCTGCGGCAAGTTATTATAACAGTTCATTGATTTTCAATTTTCAATGCATTTCATTGCGAGCATTTTCATTGTTTGCATTTTCTTTTATTCTTTTCTTTTTATTGTCAGTTACCTCTCTTTCCCCAGCCCCCCGCGCCATCCGGCGGGCCATTCATTTGGAGTCGAAACGGTGAAAATCGGCTTGCCCCGCCCGCCGAGTCAAACCCGCTGCAGCAGCTTGCAACAAATTTCCGCACTGCATATTCACTCGAATACATAAATTCATGGGTAGTTTATTTTGGCAGTACGAAAATGAGAGAAAAAAAATTACAATTAAGAAAATAAAACTTTTAAATGAATATTAAAAACAAAAAAAACCGAAGAGAAAAATGTAAATAATTTCGCTTGTGCATGGGATTTTTGGTTGGCAGTTTTAACTTTTTATTGGTTGGCCAAAGAGCAAAAGTATTGTCCTTGCTGATTGACTGCGGCTTAATGCACTTAATGTTGGATTTATTCCTGCCTAACTGTAGCAAACTGAATGCAGGTATGCTTTTTATTAATATTCAGCAGCACGACCAAATTGCTGGCCACAAAAGAAAAGTTTTTTTTTTGAGTTAATTTAAAAAGTTCTTAAAAAAGATGCGCCAGTTATTTGTATACAAAAAATAATACTTGCATACAGAGGGATAAAAGAGACAAAGGTAGAAAGAAAGAGAAAGAGAGAGAGAGAAAAAGAGACAAAGGTAGAAAGAGAGAGAGAGTGTGGGAGAGTTGTGCTGCAGAAAGGCCTCTTGCAAACTGGGATTATTTTTTATCTAATGTGTTAGCCATGAAAACTGTAGAACTATAGTCCATTTAAATAGTGACGATTTGCAAAATCGAGGATTATCTATTCGAAATCAACAAATCAATATCTAAATATTTATTAACGTTAGCGTATCAAGAAATTATTCTCAATTGATCACGCGTCATTCGAAAGAGGTCTCATGAACACGCTTGGCAAAACCTTTTAGCACGTGCTTTCGTTTCTTTTGCAACCTGTCACCCACATTCCAGCGTCTGTCTGGCCAGGCTTATGCAATGCCCAATGGGCAAAACGAAAAGCAAACAGCTATACGCCTAATATCATTTATTATAGACGGTTTATTATTTATTTAACAACAGTTTGACTTCCGCCCGCAAAGGGGCAACAACAAAATGTCATCTTATTGTCGCACATATGGAGCGACACTTTTGTCAAGCGGCTTTTGTAAATGACTCTCCGGTTCCCCAGTCCATTTGCGGTCTCAGGCAGCGCAGAGTCTTGTGATTGGGCATGGCTAATTAGTAGCACTTTCCCGGGGAACAGAGCGCAATTGTGTTGGCCGTGACTTTGTTTTCTATTTGCGGCCACTTTCAAATTTAGCCACACAAAAACTGATGCCAAAAATTGGCTGCCAGACGGTGGAACGCTTTGAAGAACCACAATCAATAAGATATCGTTGCCAGACTGCCCAAGCATTGTGATCAATAATTTCTTAGTAATTTCTATAATACCATAAGCGGGCAGCTGTGGAACTGAGAGTAGCGAAAAGTTACCAAAAAGACACGCCCTTGCGGTGAATGGCTTACTCTACTCACTTTAAATATATGCACATGAGCTCTTATTGAATTTGCTTTTTAATAATTATCGTCTTCAAAAGAAAAATACACTCCCGCTTCCTGGTAGGCATCTAGATGCTGTGACACACGTCCTCTGTCCAGGCGTCGCTGGCACTGACAGCGCATGCAATGCGATTCGCCATGCTGTTTGCAGGGTCTAGCGAAATATGAGAAGAATTGGTAGAATCTTTGATACTATATTGCCATAATCATTCACCTACGTAGTTTGCAATGTTTGGCGCAGACAAACGCATAGGAATGACAACCAATTCATTTCCAAAGCTTAAGAAGCGAATAATTTGGAACAGTGCTGCAAAGGTCCAAAAGGTAGCTGTCATTAGCATATTTACAGTGTTGCAAAGCTTGGTAAGCTTGTGAAGTGCAAATCCATTGATAAAATTTTAAAAGTAACGAGTTGTTGCTACGATTAAGCCGAATGCATGGCAGTGTTGTGTAACAACTTCTGCTTATTTCTGACATACATATATTAGTAAAACTTGACGAGTATTTATGCCTTAAGAGCAATATGTCATTTCGTTAAAAGAAGTCAGCATTTTAAATATTTTCATAGCACCTTTTATATTATTTTCATTTTTATCCACTATTATATGTAGATTTGACTAATGTTTTATCAAATCTTAGAATTTTAGCCGCCCAATCTAGCCAGTCAATAAGAATAATCTCTTCCTTTCAAATACTTAATATGCACATAATCAAAATAAGTATGTTCAAAGAATTATATATTTTTATATGGGAAATGTGCAATCTTAGCACCCATAAAAATAACTGGAAGGTATGAAATGGAGTTGAGCATAAAATCCAAGTATATACCTACATATATTGTATAAACTATATTAATCACAAATGCCAATTTTGTGTTCATCCGTTTAATTTCGATTACATCCTTTCCAAATATTTTTTGTTGAAAATTGTCTTTGTTCCATTTCCGCAAGATTCCTCAAATCATGCACATCATACGTTTGATGTATTATATATCATTACCAAAGCATTCCACAAATTCTTCAAAATATAACGAATGCTCAATTTTAATTTTATTTTTTTTGGTTGTTTATTGTATTGAATCAAAAATAGCATACATTTTTATTACAACACAGTTGGCTTAGGTGATATTACGCCTAGCCTGGTTGAGTCCTCAGGCTTTATCGTGGACAAACGTCAAAGGCGGCTTTTTTGAGTAAGGCTGTATCGTCACGTAGGTAGTCGGGGGACTCTGAGCCGTCTCCTATGTCGTGGTTGGAGGAGGTCCTTGAACGATCTTCTCTTGAGCCTCCTGACTACACACCTCACAGCGAGGTCTCTTGCTACCCGGCTGCAGTGTCGCTGCAAGCGTTCGCTGTACCGGTTGTCTATGGTCTCCATTTTGAGGTCTCTGTGCAAGGTAGAATTTCTGACGTACCAGTCAGCACCCGTAATTCGCAAGGCCAAGTTTTGAAGTGTCTGAATCCGTCTTCGATTTGTCCGAGATGCAATGCCCCAAACCTGAATACCGTATCTCCAAGTTGTATCTTGGTGCCACCACGACGTTATAAACTGCCCGTTTGCAGCGAAGTGGCAATGGGCTGTTGGGGTTTAGAAGCCAGTTGGCCTTGGCCCTCTTATAGCGGCACTGCTTAAGAAGGCCGTCGATGTGCGCCCGAAAACTAAGCCTCTTATCCACTACAATTCCAAGATACTTGGCGCTTCTGCCAGGGTGAAGGGGGCCTCAGTGTGTAGTTGACCGAATGGCACTTCGAGGCATTGAGCTTGATGTTCCATCTCGGCCTTATGGCTAAGATCAAAGTGTAATATCTGTTCTTATCAATTTTAATACATATGTATGTATGTATCTCAATTTCTAACAACCCGTTTCGTGTCACTGAGCACCTGAGCATGGTTACTTTTCACATTTTCGTCTTGCGTAATTTATTGGCCCTTTTGTATTGCATTTTCTCCAAATGCTTCATAGGTCCATTGTTCGTTTCATGTTAATTCAAGGAGGGGGCATTACATTTTATTGTCCTGCGTTCGCTTTTGAGTCGTGCCAATGGCTATTGCATAAAGGTAACCAGGGGCAATTTCTTGAAAAAGCGTGCTCATAAATTTTAATTATGTGCATTCTATAATAGGACTCCATTGTGTCCCTGCCCAAGCCCGAGTGCGAGTGCAATGTCCTGCCAAAGGCGCTGAACCATTTAATATGGCTTGTTGCTGTGCGCCCATATGAATATAGATGTTTATGTATGCATTCATATACATATGCATTATCATTTGGTATTACCCTGTGACCCTGGCTGGCTCTTTGAGGGTTGTTTCCTGCGGCTGCCACACCATAAGGTGGCCATTAATTAAGCGACAGCATTGAGTTGACCTGCACTGGCTGCACTGGCTGCACTGGCATTAGCCCCTAGCAGTCATTGGGGAGCAGCCCCATGGCGTCATCAAATTAGCGCTTGTGTAGCATCTATTTCAATTTGCAACGTCAGTCGATACGTAGCAGTTGCAGTTGCAGTTGCAGTGGCAGTTACACGAAACTCGCAGCCAGCGCTTTCTCAATCTAATTTCGGGTTGCTTTGTGGGCCATGCCGCAAAATGTAGCTCTTGTCGCCTCCACAAGACTGACAAACCGACAATCAACATTTAAATGATGCTAGCATGGGGCTCCGCACAGAGGTGAGAGACCCTGGCCAGTAGCCCGAACCCCGGCCTCGTACCTAAGCAACGTGCGTCAATTACATTTCGGTTGCCATTGCGAAATGGTCGGTTTGGTTACCAAATTGACGGCATGCCCCCGGGGTGCTGCCACTAGTGTTGCCTTTTCACACGGTGTCCCATCCCCATTCCCATTGCCATCCCCAGCCCATCGCTGTGGCACCATTTCGCACAATACCAACATTGATTTAGTGCCATGCAACACACCGAACCAACACCGAAATGCACTGCGAAATATTCAAATATATTGTACACTACATATTTTATTTTTATAGAGCTGTTGTTGCTCTTGGCAGATCGTTAGCAAAGCTATACAAACTTGTCAATGGCTTTAAAAGCTGACACCGGCAAGGAAATATCTGTTGAATTTTTTTCGGGTTTCACTTTAAGGTTAATTCATTTTTATACCCTGTACCCATTGAAAATGTGTAAAAGGGGTACACAGTTTTTTAGTGCAAATCTATGTAACAGGCAGAAGAAAGCATCTCCGACCCCATAAAGCATATGTATATATTCTTGATGGCCATCAATAGCCGTGTCCGTTGAAATGAACGAAAGTCCTCATAGTGACCGTTTGTTTCTTTCCGATAATCGATAACATGCCCCGTTCCCAAGCAATCGATACAAAATCGATATCGAATTGCTAATCCAAAAATGTATTTTCCCGATAACTGAAGCTTCACTGTATTACTTATACAAAATTGCATTATTGTTCCTATATATATATATACATCACATAGCTTCAATAGCAACAATCGGACGGATATAGCATATGTATATGAATATAGTCTGATTTACGCTTAGACTTAGAGCACAATTAGACATACATATGTCCAATGACAGCTTGAAAGACATATCAATTATTCCAATTTGCCACGCCTGATCTTTAGAAAAGCTCATCAGTTGTCTTCATTTCCAACTTGGTTATTCTAAGTCTTAAATTGTGGAAGATATATGTACATTTCATGCAGCGTTCATTCGGACGGACGCAGAGCAACACAAAAATCTTTTCACGTTGTTAAAGAGTATAAAAATTGTTGTTGGCTTTTCAAAATCAACACGATGCTTAGTTATTGTGTAATTGTAACAGCTACACACGACTTCTAAAATGCAATTAAAGAACAGAATATATTGCCCATAAATAAAGTTTTATCACCAAAATGCATATAGCATATATTGTTCGAGTGTTCGAAATTTGAATATATTAGAAAATAAAGTAGTAATAAGGCACGTATTTCGGGTTTGAAGCGCAGGCTAGATTGTGAAGGTGGTATTGTCTAAGCCGAGGCTAATAGCTGCCATGTTAATTGTATTTAACCACATTCGTTGCTTAAAATTATTATAAACATAAATAATATATACTCCCGATCTAGCTCGTGGCAAGTTTTGTGCTTCAAGTTTTAGATTTAAGTTTTTCACCCATTTCCCGCCCGTAAACAGTTTAAATCAACCCGTACTATTTTGAAGTCTATGTCCAAGTTAAAAAAAGCTTTAAAGTCCATGGAATAAGCAACCGAAAGTTTCCGCCCATGTAAGTCTTGTGTTAAGAAATTGAACCCGAAAAAAAAAACATTCGGTCATTAAACCTTTCATTAGCATTTGTTAGGGATGGGTTTTCCGAAAAGTGTGAGACACCCCTCATATGGGTCTACGTTTGACCAAAGATCTAAGGAAATGATTTTGAAATCGTTCGGATGGTAAACATGAAAGTTTCATACAGACGTTTTACTTAATTTTCCAGCACAAACTGTTTTGTATATAGAGATAAATATATATTTATAATAACCTACTTACCTGTAAATCCACACGCACGAATATTTTATCCTCATCCAACAGTAGGCGGAAGACGAACTATTTTATAAACACATTACTGAAAGAACAGAAAAGCAGAGATAATGCTTATTGCTTAAACTTTACTTGAATTAGAGTCAACATACAGACACATATTTAAATACATAAATATACGTATGTATTTAAATATATACAAACTAACATGCATGCATACGCTTGTAATAGTTGCTACTATTATTTTAAATAAAATAAAACTTAATCTTGTTAATAATACGTACCAGATTTTCCAATGAGCTCCGACGTAGCCACCGCCTCCTCCAATATAAAAGCCGCCTCTTTCTCCTTTGCTTATGTAGCCGTCTCCTCCAATATAAAAGCAGCCGCCTCTTCGAATGTTATAGCCGCCGTTTCCTTCAAAATTGAAGCTGCCGTATCCTCGTATTTTAAAACTGCCGGCTCCTCCTCTGTTAAAGATTCCGTCACCTCCTACGTTGAAGCTGACGTCTATATTCAAGCTGCCGTCTCCTAAAAAATATAAGTCACCGTCACCTCCAATATGAAGTCAAGCCTATGAGACTTACTTGAATTCATGAGAATCGAGTAGTAGGGCATTAGTTAAAAAGCGTTTTTTTTAATTTGCAGCCCTCCTTGATGCAAACTTGGTCTTGCACATAAACATACAAAATTTGTGAATACATACATTTACACATATAAATGCATACTTAATATATACATTTATACACGCACACAGACATTCATATATACGTGCAATATACATTACTTCGCACACATACATACATTCAGGCAGACATACATTAATACATACCAACATAACCAATACATATTTACATACCCATTTATACATATCTATATATGTATTTACATGAAAACGCGTATACATATATACATACTTTTAAATATACATACAGACATGCATACGCATTTACATACACACTTACACATGCATACATACATACATGCAAACGTACATACATATATACATGCATATATACATACATACATACATACATACATACATACAAAGGTAATGCATTCATATATCCATACATACATACATACATACATACATACATACATACATATATACATACATACGTACATACGTACTTACGTTCTTACGTTCATACGTATGTACATACGTACATATGTACATACATACACACATACATTAATACATACATACAAACATTCATTCATATAACTATTCCTAGCTCTTATGGATTGGGCTGTGCGTTAATCATCTAATAGTCAGTCAGTCAGGATCAGTCAAATAGTTTTATATATAAGCATGAATTATATTCCTAATTGCGGTAAATCGAAACTAAAATTAAGCTTGTGCCTTACATATGAAAGGATTTCTATTTCATCCAATGCTCCTTGCACATTATGCGGCTTCAATTTTTGTCTGCTTCAACTCGATCAACAAGTGAGTCGTTTCCGCGTAGCCCCCTCGCCACGCCCAACTTTAACAGCACTCTGCAGCAAAATTTGTGGCACACTGGTGACTGCAACTTGTGGCTGCCACTGGCATTGCCGCCGCCTCCCGACCTCCGTCCACCGTACCTTGGCGGCGAGACCTTAAGCCACATAAGTCCAACTGCTTGTTGTCTGTAGTTTCGTGCTCATCCTGGTCCTCGTCAGCGCCCGGCGCATTCATAATGCATGAGCCATACTCAACCGCTGGCTCGGTCGGATTCGCAATAATTCAACTTTTGCCATCGACAAGTTCCATGCATAAAAAACTAAGCGTTTCATCATTTGAGAGCCAGCCAGCCACCGCATCGCCTAAACTGGGAAAAGGTGCGAGGTTTTTTGCTGTTGCGAGCGCTTCCCTATTTGCCAGATTTTCAACATTGCCCACGCTAACCGATGCTAACACGCCCACAAAAACGCCCCAATAATATTTTTTGAATGCAACTGTTGTTGTTGATGTTGCTGTTGTTGTTGGCAACTTTTTTGGTTGTTGTCGATACGAAAAAGTTGCTGCTGGCGCTTTCCAACCTACGACCTCCACTCCCGCTCCGAATCCCGCTCCTGTTTTACGCCCAACTCTTGTCTAACGGAATCTGTGTGTATCAGTGCCCAGGATTTATGTGTTTATATTGCGAGTTTGAAGTTAGTTTGGCAGTCCGCGTATTTCTAGGGCAGCAGTTGTTGTTTAGCGCGTGGGTGGGTGGGCTTTGGGGGGAGCAGCGGCGGAGATGTCTGGCGATGTTCCTCGGCATGGGAATGCGGTTGCACAACCGGCGGACGGGCGCATAAATTGCAACCATGTTTATGTATAGCATTGCAAAAAGTGTTGCAAACAAAAATTCAGAAATAAAACCCCCAAAAAAAAAAAAGGAAA